TAAGCTAACTTAGTAGTGATAGCAGAAAGTAAAAGTATTCTATTAATAGAAGTTAAACACTACACCCAAAGCCTAAGAGGGCAGCTCAAAATCTCCCTGAAAAGGGTGTCATGCTTCGACTGTAGGCAGGAATACAGAACGAGCGAAAAAGGGAGAAAACAGGCAAGAGGAGAAAGATTCTCTTCTCACTTTGTCCATCTTTTCCTATTTAAATTATTTACATCAGTGGTTCTCTACGGAAAGCAATTTTCCCTTTCAGGGATGTTTGGCAATGTCCAGAGGCACTTTTGGTTGTCACAGCTGGGGAGGTGCTACAGTCAGCTAGGGGTGGAGGCCAGGGATGCTGCTCAAGTCGCGCAATTTGAAGGACAGCCCCCCCACCCCACAACAAAGAATTCTCTGGCCCCTGATGTCAACAGTGCCGAGAACAAGAAACTTCTGAGTTACTGCTGACTACTCTCAATAAGAAAGTTTAAATATCTCATCACAATGATGTTTTTCAAAGGAAAAAAATATACCACATTTTTCATTCATTTCACCAATAACTATTGAGCACATGAACTCACCGACCATGAAAACAATAACAGTAATCATAACCAACATTTACTGCAGGCTTTGTCTGCGCCAGGCACGCGTCTGTGGCTGTCCTTATGTGAACTCTCTCAACCCCGTCACGCCCGCCTGCGGTAGGCGCTATCGTTAGCCTCCATTTACTGGAGAGGAAACTGAGGCCCAGAGAGGTTAGTGACTGGCACAGGTGTAGACACGGTAAGTGGAGGAGCTGGAGGTGAGACCAGGGTCCAGCTGCTCTGGCCTCGGGACTGCTGGTGTTGACTTCTCTGCACCACACCACGTACGGTGCAGGGACGGATACACTAGGGGATACAGCAGACAAGGTCTGCACTCGTGCGGATTATTCTAGACTTGGATGGGGAACAGGGAAGGGAAACGATATAAACGGTAGCATCAAATTTGTATCCAAACAACTGGGGAGGGGGCACAATGAGAACACTGAACCCGCTGCCCTCAAGCAGGCCCACCACTCCGAGTGATGTGGAAGGTGTCGCTAGAGTCCTGCAAATGCCGGGCAACGGTCTGAAACCTCTGAGAGACCCGGGGAAGAAAGCACGACAGCAAAACACAGCCGCGCACATTTCCACAGTGACTAGAAGGCCACTGACCTAAAAAAAAAAAAAAAAAAAAAAAGAAGAGTTTGTAGCTCTAATTTATTGGGAAAAATGCGCTAATGTGACTGACACTGTAACTTTCCGGTGGAAAAGTAAATTACTGAAGATCTACACTCAATTATGACTAGAGCCAGAAGTCGTAAAATCAGATGAAGCTTCTGCCAAACACATAAGCATCACGTAATCATCATTTAATTAGCAGGAACCGTTTCTCATTGATACAGGACAGGCAGGGCCTAACTGTTGAAACTGACCTCTCATTTTAAAAAAAAGAAACTGTCACCGAATCAAAAGCATTCATTTGAATTATGATCTTTTTTTTTTTATTTCCAAGAAGGTTTCCATCTTCGAAGCCTCCATCTTCATTCACTGAATTTATTTTTCTAATAGCATCCCCTAAGACACTCAGGTTAAAGCAGTAGGGGAAAAAAAAAATCCAAGGCCAATTGTGAATCCTACGACCCCAGAGTAACTACAAGAAAAACAACAGACAGGCTCAGGTTGTACACTGGCCAGTCTGACGACTGTCGCAGCAGGGACAGCAGGTTAAGACTGAGACACGTCTCAGACCAGAGGGGACTAGAGACAGGTGACAGCTAAGTGAGGGAGCCTGGCTGCAGTCCTGGAACAGAAAAGGGACACTGATGGAAGAACTGACGCCTGGGAAAGCTGATGCTGTCCTCCGGATAACCAAGACGGGGGGACACTATGTTGGTGTCGCCCCCAAAATTACTACGTTGGAACTTCATGCCCACTCGGATGGTACTGACAGGTGATTAGGGCATGATGGCTCTGTCCTCACGAGTGGGACTGGTGCCCTAAAAAAAGGCTCCTGGGGAGCCTCCTTGCCTGTTCCGCCGTGAGAGGACACGGCAGCAATGAACGAGCCCTCACCAGACATCGAATCTGCCAGCACCTCGAGCTTGGACTTCCCAGCCTCCCCAGCTGTGAGGAACAAATTTCTATAGCTTATAAACTACCCAGTCTTCGGTATTTTGCTATAGCAGCAGGAACAATAAAGACACAGGGGAAATGCCACCTCTTCAGCAACTCACAGCGCCAAGTGGGATTAGCTGAACCAAGAGCCAAGAACAAAAATACAGATAAATTAAAATGACAAAATTAAATAATGACAGCAGCATCAGACTCTGACTGAGAGGTCGGCTGCTCACTGTTTCCAGCACGACATACGCTTGACACAGGCTTCCTCACTCGATTCTCAAAATAACCCCATGAGGTTGGGCGAGAGATGATCGTGGATTCCATTTTAGAGTGAGGAAAAGGATTAGAGAGATTAGTGGTGTGGAATTTAGCTCAGTAGTTCATTAAATTTGTATAGCCCTTGAGAGTTTACAAATTATTATCATATTTTATCCTCGGGGAGGTGGGAGAGAAAGAGGTCATTCCTCCCATCTCACAGATGGGGGGGGAGTGCTTTTCCCAAGAAGTAGAAAAAGGCAAAGGGGTTTGCCCAGTTTATCCAAAGATACGGCCTGAGAACTTTCCAGTCTATGACACACCATGGGAAAAGTAAACTGCCACACACCACGTCACCATGCAAGGCCAACCGCCAGCAAGCAGGGAGTTGGCATGGCCTGTGCTGTCCCTCCTGCGCCCACCTTCAATAGGACAGTCTCGCTGTCCAGAGCCAAGACGGGAACACCCATTTCTGAAGAGGGACAGGCACGGACAGGGCTCTGGAAGCAGGACAGTGGGCAGCAGGAAGCTAAGGAGTGAGGGAAGATCCCACCCCCTCCCCTCGGAGACCCTGAAGGCATTTGCTTTTGGCTTTTTTTTAAAACTGAGATGGCAGCCACACACCTCCACAAAGAAACTATTCCTTGTTGCAGCTACTTGGCTTTGTTTCTACAGGAGTGATTCCTCCCAAAACATATTCTTCAAGGGGCTGCCCAGCACGGGTGGGACCTACCTGCCAGCATCAGGGCTCGGATGCAGTCGGTGCGGCCCTGCATGGCGGCCTTCATCAGAGCTGTGAACCCGAACACGTTCCTCCTTTCAAGGTCAAGACCAGGGAAATAGTTCAACAAGTAGTTGGTGATGGTGGCGTGCCCTGTGGAGAGAATTGCACACGTGTGTGGGTTCGCGCTCCCACAAAAAGTGCTCAGCCCGGCGAGGCCCTCCTGGAGAGAGACGGAATCGCCGAGTCATGCCTGGGCCGGCGTCTGCCGGGTGTGTTTTCCTCCCACCCAGGGACGGAATCTCCCGGAGCCCAGGAAGCGGAGGATGGCGGAGGACACTGCCCCGGCCACTGCGGTGCTGTTTCGGGTCTCTCCTGTCCCCTTGGGCAGGCCCTGGGGGAGGAGCTGTCCCCTCACAGGTGAGGAGGGATGTGGGCCTCACGCAGACGCGGGATGCGCAGCTCCCAGCAGGAGCCGCCAGAGCAAACAGACGGGAAGCTGCAAATGAGCTTCGGAACCATTTCCAAGTGCTCTGAGCTTCGGGGAGGAAAAAGTCATCCTCACAGCAGAGGATCTGCCAATTCACGCTGGCACCCTCTGCCACCACTCGGAAGCGTGAGTCTCTGTCTCTCTCTCTCTCTCTCTCTCTCTCTCTCTCTCTCTCTCTCTCACACACACACACACACACACACACACACACACGCACGCTCCCAGGGAGTGCTGCAGCCAAGACCCCCAGCCATAAACCGAAGCAGGTACGAATATTCACTTGAGAATACGAATTTCTCTCCTTTCTCCCCTGGCATCTCCAGAAAGGATCTGACTTTCTGCTCATTCCCAGAGGGGTTCCCAAAAAGCCCGAGGAGCTCTCAGTTAGAAAAGGAGAACATGGTGTAAAAAGCAGTATTTCCAGGATTCACCCCCAGAAAAACAAAGTGGAGCGGGAGAATCCTCAGATAGAACTACCTCGGCCACAGAAAGCAGCTCTTGGGTCAGTTGTCCGTGCCACCTGAGGCCAGACAGCCCGTCCTACACCCACCCTCCTCCACTTCAGCCCCTGGAGCGGGTCCCACCCTCAGCACTGCTGGCATTTGGGGCCACAGAGCTCTGTCGTGGGGCTGCCTGTGCACTGCGGGATGGTTAGCAGCGTCTCTGGTCCCCACCCACCAGGTGACAGCAGCAAGCACCCCCCACTCCTGCCCGGGTTGTGATAACCAAAAATGTGTGCAGACACTGCCGAATCGCCACCGGGGGTGCAAAATCACCCCAGTTGAAAACCACTGTCCTAGAGGCTCAGACTTCACTCTTTCCTGATCAACCATCCCCATCCCAGGCTCCTGGCCAGGACCCTCCCCCGGCCCCTGCAGCTGATGGCTAAGGCGCCCTCGGGGATGTGAGACATCTGCAGAGGTCCTTCTTCTGACCCCGGTGGAGATGCCAGGTGCCCAGTCCCCATCCTTACATGCTACCCCCCAGCTCCTGGAAACGCCTCATTCATCCCCAGCCCGTGCATGTTCCTTGACCCCCACGTCAGGGCCCTGGACGGTTTCCATGCACTCTCTCTAACTCAGCATCGCCCTCCCCCAGGAGCCTCTGCCCCGTGGAGAAGCCGGGACCTGCGGTGCAGAATGCCCATAGCCAGCTGATTTCGCGGTGGAGATTTCCAACAGGTGGCACCGTGTGAGGTTTGGGACACAGGAGAGGAGGCAAGGCCATAATTCTCTTGAGGCCATCGGGCAGCCATGAGACCTGAGGTGCTTCCCTAGGCTCACCTGCTTTGCCCTCAGACCCTGCAGCAGCCTTGGTGTCGTGCAAACCCAACCTGAAACCCTCCCAATGCATGGAGCGGCTTCTGTCTCCCGCCACACTCGGAGGGACACAGCTGTCCGGGGTGGAACCCGGGGTCCTCTTTTGAGTGACACACGGCCACTCCAGGCTGCTGCCACCAATATTAAACCCTGTGGATTAGCTTTTCACCAACTTCCAGGGCAAGAACAACAAGAAACAGAAATGAGAGCATGACATCTTCTAGGAAGCATGGCTGCGGCTTACCGTGGACCTCAGCCCATCTCCTAGCTCACCACAAATACTAAAAAGTGAGCCACGGATCTTTCTGTGAGAGAAGCCCTGACCAATGCAGTAGTGCTAGGATGGTAACAAGCAGGACGAACAAAGGGGTGCGGCCCCCACATGTGCACGGGCTGCAGCCAGGACCCGATGCTGACTTAACTCACTACACCGCGTTGCCCTCCGCTCGCTGCCATTTACTGGGTGTGGGGAGGGGACAAGGCTACTGTCAGGTACCCAAGGCTGCTGCATGGCTCTCAACTGGCGAGAGAAGGGGGACCCTTTGATCTTAGTTTGGTTTATACTGCAGTTAAACGCTTGGCAGCACCCGTCATTAGATTTAGCCAGAGTCATAGTGAAACGAATTGCGATTTGTTTAGAGCCATTTCTTTAAAACTGTGAAATCGCATGTCCCGGTCACAATCCTCAGCAAGATGTCCCTTGCACTGATACATCCTAAACACTTTAAACAGGTGGGGAGGGGAACTGGAAATCCACAAAGCAAACTGCCCATTATACAGATCTGTTCTGCATATTATGTTGCGTTTATAAAACCAGCACGCAGCCAACTTCGACATCTGCAGAAATCACATCCTGCTTCCCGGTGGTTTTCCAGGATGGCAGAATAATACCTCTGATCATGAAGAGGACCTCATCCGGTGGAAATCAAGGTGGACCCAATACGTCTAAGTATGTATGAATGCTAACCATTCTTCTTAAACACCATGGCAAGTAACCACAGGGAGCTTCCCTTTTCTTTGGCATGTATATATGTGTACATTTTTCTCTATATTATACACACACACACACACACACACACACACACGAGAGACACAAGCCTTTCTCGCACAAGGGAACACAAGCCCACAGCATCCTGAAGCCCAGCTGGAGCCCAGTCCAACTTAGACACACTGTGCAATAGGACCTGGCTCCTGGAGTCCCCAGGGAAGCCCTTTTAGAGGGTGGGCTCACCACAGAGACCCCAAGAACATCCCACCTCCCTAAGAGCAGGGCACTGATGACCCAGGGAGTAAGTGGAATTGGATGAAGTGGCTCCCCTGGGACACAGTGCGGTACTGAAGAGAGCTGGCTCTCAGGACACTCAGGTGCAAGGCCCAGGCCTGCCACTCCAAGCCCGGGTGACCTTGGGAAGGTGAGTCAACGTTTCCACATCTGTAAAGTGGGAGATAATACCAACCTCACAACTGTGAAAATTATAGGAGAGAATGTGTGTAAGAAGTGCCCGGCAGATTAGACAAACCTGGAAGAAAAATTCCAAATAATCTCCGCGACCACTCCGCTCTGGGAGTAGAACATAACTCCCCAGTCCTTAGCCTGCGGCCGTGCATAGTGACTTCCCCGCAAAGAGCCCAGCAGGGAAAGGCAGGGGAAGGAGGGAATTTCTCAGTGGAAACCTGACTAACACAACCTCACCAGGCCACCAAGGCCACCACCAGCAGCGACGAGTCACGTTGGCAGCACAGACCCTTGATGAGGGGTGATGAGAATGGCCCTTTACAGTCCCCTTCCAAAGACCTCCTAATTGCAGTCTGATCGTGGGGAAAGCATCGAGCACGCCCGAATTGAAGGACATGATACAATACACCAAAGCCACCCTCCTCGAAACCGTCAAGGTCGCCAAAAACAAGAAAAGTCTGAGAAACTGTTAAACCAACAGGAGACGAAATAGACACGATGACTAAATGCAATGTGGGATCCTGGGACAGAAAAAGGACATTAGGGAAACTGAGGAAATCTGAATACAGAGTAGACTTTAGTTAATGATAACGCATCAATACACATCCATCGTGTCAAACGCATCACACTAACCTAAGATCTTAACAGGGTGAGAGCTATATGGGAATTCTTTGTATTAATATAAGCTTTGTGGTTTTTCTTTAAGTCTAAACTATTCTAAAATCCAAAGTTTATTTTTAAAAAGAGGGAATCTAGCATAGAGCCATTCAAACAGTGCAAGGCAGGGGTGACGCCTGGCGTGGGTCCTCTGCACACTGTGCCCGAGCCGTGCCTGGCGGTGGCGGGAGCTCACCAGGGGCCGGAGGCAGCCAGTGGACAGAAAGTGGTGCCCCCGAGCCCAGCAGGCGGAGTGGCTGATTGAGAGCGCTCCTGCAGAGGTGAGTGGATGGGCCGGGTGCACAGAAAGAGGAAAGCCCACGCTGACTGCCGGCACCCCCCGCCCCCCGCCCCCAGGCTTCTGTCTCCCCGTGGATGGCCACAGCGGTGTCGTCCCGAGAGCACATGGAGGCAGGAACCTGTGGCCTCCCGGCCTGGCCAGATTCTCAGCCCAGCCCAGCCACGCTTCTGTCTTTCCCGCTTGCCACCCCCCCAAGTCCCATGTGGAAAATTTTTAGCTTTTGACTCGAGATCTCAAGTCACCAACCTCGCAGCAAACCCGTCTCCCAGGAGATGAGTCATCTCCTACTTCACGGAAACCACAGGAAGGGAACCCCCTCTGCCTTCCCCCTCACCCCACACACTTCCCCACACTCACCAGCATCTCCCCTCCCTCTCTCCTGGAGGGAGGGGCCTCCCACTCACAAGCGCCCGTCCCTCCTCCCCAAACCCATGCCTCCTCCCAGTGCCTGTCCCTCCTCCCCGTCCCATCCTTCATTCTAGGGGAACTCTGGCCCAGGGGGTGTGTGCAGGCGTGCTGCAAGCACCTGCCTGAAATGCTCTCACTCAGAGACTCTCACTCCATGTATCTCGGCCATCTCCCCGAGAACACGCCTCGGCCAGCTCGCTGCCCCCAGGAAGAGGACGGGCGCGCTTGGAGCAGAGCTGCCAGCTGCAGGGCCCGGGAGCAGGCCCCCCGCTGACCCACAGACACGAGCACCCGATCACCGGCCCATCCACAGATGCTCACACCTTAGAAAACTATATGACCCATGATAATCCCTGTGGGCCTGTCTTCATATTCCAGCGACCCTCCGGCCATCACAGACTCCTCAGTCTAACTTTTAGAGACATCGACCCTCACTCTTGCCACCGACACTCTGATTCCGCTGAAACCGCCTCCCAACAGCCCCCAGTGCCCTCTTGTAGCAAAATCCAGCAGTTACTTGTC